AATGGAGGAGTTTTCAAAATGACAGAGCCCTGGCTAACATGCCTCACTTTTTTTTATTAGATAAGTGAAAAAGAGGGGTGCACTTGTCATTTTAGTAGTTCTTTCCAGCTGAGGGATCTTGGGATGGTCTCTGGTTTGAGAACGCAGAGGGGGCAGGGGTGGGGGAGGGAGGAGGAAGAAGGGAGAAAGCGGGATACACTTTACACTGGAAAGGCCCAAGTCACATACAAATTTGTTATATTAGCCCCTGAACCTTTGTGAAACGTTCTTTCTTTTAAATGTGTGTGTTTTGCCTGAATGTATGGAAGCGTAGTACAAGCATGCAGTGTCTGCGGAAGCCCGAAGAGGGCACTGGATGTCAGCCTCCATGTGGGTGCTGGGACCAAACCTGCAAGAGCAGCAAGTACTTCTAAGTGCTGAGCCATCTCGCCAGCCCCTTACTGTTTTTTGAGACAGGGCCTCACTGTGTAAGCTAGACTGGTCTCGAACCTGTGATTCTTATGCCTCAGCCTCCCAAGTACTGGGATTGCAGGTATGTACCACCTATGCTCAGCTCTGGAATGTTACTTTCTTAAAAAATACATGCTGGTAATAACTTTCTAAGGTCTCCTGGTGTCCAGAATGCAAGCTTGGTTTCTACAGTGTGTGGAACTAGTATTGAAGGTGGAAAATAAACCATTAGTATTATCTAAAATATCAGGAGTTCCGGGACTGGAGAGATGGCTCAGCAGTTAAGAGCACTGGCTGCTCTTGCAGAGGACCCATGTGTTCAGTTCCCAGCACCCACATGGAAGGTAACAACTGCCTGTAACTCCAGTTCCAGGGGATCTTATGCTCTCTTCTGGCCTCCCATGAGCATTGCACAACACAGGTGCAGGCAAAACACTCATACACAGAAAATAAATAAAATAATAAAATATGAGAAAGTCTGAGTTTGTCTTATCTTTATATCAAAATGGTAACATTAAGGTGGACTCAAAAATGATTAACTTTGCAGTAGAAAATAAGGTGTGTCCCGTAGGATAATAATATCAGAGGTGGACGAGGATTTGTCTGCACACTAAACACACTTCTGCAGAAAGAGAAGCTGAGCTCCCTCATAGAATTCAGTCCTGTCACTATCCTTCACCTCAGGATGCCCTTGGCAAGCTCCAGGATGTTTTGTGATTTTGATCAACTGGCTGTGGGTTTCAGTTACTTTACTCAGGTGGCTCATGGAACTCAGGGAGTGGGGAAATTAAAAGGAAAAAGAATAAAGAAAGGTTAATCTACTGGCTGGAATGATTAACGAAAAACTGGATTGTTGTTCCACAGGGCAGCAGAGGGCTGTGCCTGGAGCCCACGTGGTTCTCTGGCATTCCTCTTTGTAGCTGAGTGTGTTCTAGCTAGAGGAATAATGATGGCAGCAAAGACCAAAGAAAAGGCAGGGGTCGGGTAGAATCAGATTTCAGGAACGAAGGTTTAGGTTGCTCTACCAGCAAAACTTAGACATAAATAGCCCTTTTGTCCTCCATAGCCCAGAGTTTGGGAGATTCCCAGTAAAGACAGTGGAAGTATGGTCTACGGCATTGAATAGGAGTCTATAGATACCAAGTATAGCTCATATCCTGTTACACACATAAAGACTGTAGTAACTTTGTGTATCTTGTCCTCTTGTTATCTGGGTCCATGTTTACTTTTATACTAACCATGTTTTTCTTTCATCATTTTTATTTTATGTACAATATTTTGGAAGCTAACTTTACAATTTACTCTTTTTATGTGTATGAGTATATTACCAACATGTATGTAAGTGTACCCATGTTGTGCATTGCTCACAGAGGTCAGAAGAGGGTGTCAGATTCCCCTGGAAATTTTGGCTGTTGGCTTGCCAGGTACTCAAAAAAGACCTGAGTAGCACCATAGTTACAGATGGTTGTTAGCCACCATTTGGGTGCTGGGATTCAAACCCAGCTCCTCTGCAAGAGCAGCCAGTGCTCTTAACCGCTGAGCCATCTCTCCAGCCCCTACAATTTACTCTTTAGATAAAAGAATATTCATTGAGACTATGACTAAATTTGAGAAGTAATTACTGTAGCCAGTAATCAGCCAGTTAGTGTTTGTAGCCAGCTGTTGGGGTTGTGTGTAGTCTTACTGGGTAGCTGTACGTTGCTAGGTAGGACGAGTTGTTTTGTTGGAAGGGAGCTTAAATATGTGTCAGCTGGTACATGAAAACTGAGTAGCCAAAGGGACAGACTGCCAATTACCACTTTATTGCCTGTCAACTGCATTTCCAACCTTTAAAACTTGCCAGGAAAATTGGATTCTTAAGCATTTTCCCTTTACAGTGACTGGTAATAGCCTTTGGCAGTAGAGGGCGCAAGAGGAACAGTGAAGGACGAAGGCACGTCTCTTCCTGCCCCCAGTTGCTGCACTTTGCTTCTCCTTGTTCTTGTTGCCTAGCATCAGGTGTGTTGCAGGGCATGCAGTCCCTTAGAGACTTTGCATACCTGGCGTGACCACCTTATGAGGCCCTCTTTGCTTATAAGAAACTGTGTTTCGACACAGATGCACTTACCTACATGCAGGCAATACACACATACACATAAAATAAAAATTATAAATAAAAGTTTTTTTTAAAAAAAAAGAAACTGACTGTGCACAGTAGCACAGCTGTCTGCCACTTCCCGGTCAGCCTGAGCTTGAATTTGCTGTGGAGGGGGTGTTCCTGCCTCCAATGTGGTACCATGTGCCTCAGCCCTCAGGCCACTCAGGCCTTCTTTGAATATCCGGCAAGGCAACAGCCACCACTTCTTCACCTTCCAAGCTTCTCTTTTCTGGATAGGGTCCCTCAGCCCTAAGGAGGGACTGGGGAGTTCTCTTTACAGCCTTAAGTTACTCTCCTATTATTGCTTATTAATTCTTTATGTTTAAAGTCCTTTGTGGGTTTTGCTTCATAATGGAACCCAAACTGATTTCAACTATAGGAACTTGGTTGCATGTATAAAAAGCTTCTCATCCATTCTTGGGGAAAGCCCTCCATCACCATCTTCACCTTTACTCCCCATGATACCCAGCTCTTAAGACTCTTATAAGGTAGTAAAGTTCTCCATCAACCAAAGGCATCAAGCTTTTGTGTTGTACTCTGGCCATTGCCACCCAAACCAAATGATCAAATTTAGTATCGTCAGTAGTGGAATGACTTGATTCCATGTGTCTCCTGATATGATACAATAAAGACATAACACTGTCTATACGGTGTCCTTATCAAATGATTTAACCTGACTTTGCATAGAGGAAATGACCAGACAAATCCAGAATGTGAGACTGTAGAACAACTAGATTCTTTTTGTTATTTGTTTTTTGGTGGTTTTCTTTGCTTTATTCTTAATGTATATTTTTATTGAATTTTTGTACATTTCATACCTCAATTATATTCAAACACCCTCTCCCATTTGCACCCCCTATATCCCCCCACTGGATTTCATGCATCTGTCATATATATTAAGACCTTTCGAGTCAAGCTTTTGTACCCAGATGTCCCTTGGTGCAAGTTTGTCCACTGGCATCTGGTCAGCCTATCCAGAGTCGACCAGCACAGCAAACTATAGCAGTGCAGTGGTGGCACTTTTATCTAGGGGTAATCAACAGCTATCTAATTGGACCTAAAGTCCTCTCAGTAGGAAGGAACTCATTTGTAGCACTGTAAACATAGCCAAATACACATAGCTGGAGAGGTCATCGTCCCCTAGAGAAAATCCTATCACTGTCATATCCCTAGACCAAAAGAAAATTTTTCAAGATAGGGTCCCCCTGTAATCCCAGCTGGCCTAGAACTCATGTAGACCAGGTTGTCCCTAATCTCACAGAGATCTGCCTGCCTCTGCCTCCTAGGTGTGGGGATTAAAGGCATGTGCCAGCACATACAACAGCTTAGATTCTTTAAAAAAAAATTTATGTGTATGAGTGTTATGCCTGCATGTGTGTAAGTGCACCCGTGTCATCCAGTGCCCATGGAGGACAGAAGAGGGTGTTGGAATCCCCTGGAACTGGAGTTACAGATTGTTGATAGCCACCATGTGGGTACTGGGATTCAAACCCAGGTCTTCTGCAAGAATAGTCAGTGCTCTTAACTGCTGAGCCATCTCTCCAGCCCCCAGCCTAGATTCTTTAAAAGAAAAAAATGAATAATAGACTGTGCATTTAAGAGCTGAGAGGGGTAGGGTTCCCCCTGTACAGCCTTGGTCTCTATCGACCAAAGTCTGATGGGCCTCTACCTCAAATCGCAACTCCATGGAGAGCCTCTGTAACTCCCCATGTGCTTTTGAGCCCAGCAGTAAGGACCATAGTACCACTGCTCACCCCTCCCCACTCAGTAATTCTCCAGTTCAGTGAATGGTGTTCCCCTCTGATTAAGTGGGAGAATTCTAGAACCCTTAAAATTCCCATTTCTCAGCTGGGTGTGGTGGCGCATGCCTTTATTCTGAGCACTCAGGAGGCAGAGGCAGGGGGATCTCTGTGAGTTTGAGGCCGGCCTGGTGTACATAGGCCAGCTGAAGCTACAGGGAGACCCTGTCTCAAAAAAAATTCCCACTTCTCTCCTGCAGATGCAGGGAAGCTAGGCCCATAGAGGTACCCCAGCCTAAAGGCCAAGAGTGCACCCAGCTAGGCTCTGTCTTGGAGCCAGGCTTAGACTCAGTGAGTGTAAGAAACGGGACTGAAAGCACCTAGAATAAGGCTAACCAGGCCAAACTCTGCATACCTTCTGAGATAAGATATGACTAGCTAAAGATGGTGTGTCTGTGGACAGCTCTTTCTTAATGTAGAATAAAGCTACCTGAGACCTTGACCCAGGACTTCAATCTGGCCCCTAAGGCCACCTCCTTACTAAGTAAGGATGGGAGAGGGTGGTGGGGTTGTAGGCCTCTTTGGTCTTCTTTGGTGCCAGGGGAGGAGGGTGGTATCAGGGATGTGCTCTGACTTACCCATGGTTTCTTAACCATTTCCCACCTTTTTTTAAGACTCCAGAAGAGTTGGAAAGAAGAGTTCTGCATCCAAAGACATGGCTGAGGTACGTTGCATTTGCCACTTTCTTCTTGGAAAGATTTCTTGGCTTTCAGATGTGATTGTAATACAGGAACCTAACCAAGGGATTTCTATTAGTGATTTGGAGAAACAAAGAGAGGAAGAAACCATATTTGTGGAGCATTTTCCCAGATCAGCCATAGGGCATCAGCTTTGTACAAACTATCTTGTGTTATCTAGAATTTCCATTTCCTAGGATTTTGTTCATAAATAAGAACAAAATCTTGGTAGAGAATCCATGCTGGTAATTTGGCAGGGAATTTGAAGAACAGAATAAGGTTATTTCAGTCTAAGTTGCTGTCCCTTCTAGGGTCCTTTTTGCTTACAAACTAAAACAGCCTAGGATGCCTGCCTGCCATCTTCAACTCAAGTATTTTTTCCCCAAGATAGAAAACCTAGTTGTGCTCTTTTGATTCATTAAAGAATCACTAATGCAACTGGGGAGATGGCTGGCTCAGCAGTTAAGAGCACTGGCTGCTCTTGCAGAAGACCCGGGTTTGAATCCCAGCACCCACATGGTGATTAACAATCCAAGGGATATGATGCCTTCTGTCTTCTCTGGGTACTTCATCACATGGGTGCATTTATGTAGATGCAGGCATAACACTCATATATAAAATTGAAAACTTTTTAAATTATTATTAAAGATTATAGGATTAGGTATACAATAGTCTTACAAATTCAAAACTGGAAGAACATTGAAGTCATCTGTGGCACCACCATCCAGAAGATACTCAGCTGTTAATGTTTTCAAATTGTTTTGTCCATACGTAGGACGGGTGTATGATTTTGTTTTCAGTGTAAGATTCTACCAGCAGAAACCACTACCCTGGTCACTACTTAAGTCACTGTAGTTTGAAGTTCTTTCCATAAGTGATTTTATTTAATCCCCATCACAACCCTGTGAGACAGCTGTGACTATATTTCATTAATTCTGTTATGTACACTTTTGTTCTGAGACAGTGTCTCACAATGTAGCCCTGGCTGGCCTGGAACTTGCCATGTTGGCAAAGCTGGCCTTTAACTCACAGATATGCCTGTGCCTCCCTCTGCCTCCCAAGTGCTGGGATTAAAGGCATATGTCACCATTCCCGACCTTTTTGTACACTCTTTAAAGACTATTTCTTATTTATTCTTTGACAGTTTCATACATGTAAATAATGTATCTTGACCATATGTACCCCCAGGAACCCCCAGCATGTCTCCCTCCCCTCTACATGTCTTCTCCTTTTTTATTTTTCTTTCTTTGTAACCCAGTGAGTTCAGTTAGTGCTGCCTATTGGAATATCGACTGATCTTATTGGCTTGATCTTGTGCAGACAACCATAGCTGCAGTGAGTTCATGAGTGCAGTAGCCGTGTCATGTCTGGGAGACAGCATTTCACAGCACTCCTCCCCATCCTCTGGCTCTGAGTTCTTTCTACACCCTCTTCTACAAGAGCCTGGGCAAGAATTGGTATAGACATCCCACTTAGCACCAAGCACTCAACAGTCATTTTTCTCATCACTCTGAGCAGTTACGAACTTTTACATTAACCTCTGACCACTGCAGAGCGAAGCTTCTCTGGCCAAGGCTGCATACTCTTTTGATTGTTTGGTTTGGGTGGTACTGAATATGGAAACTAGAGCTTTGCACATGCTAGGCAGGTTTCTCTACGGAGTTACATCCTCAGCCCTTTGGAGAACTTTAGCATTTCAGCCTCTGAAAGTATGATGGGTCTTACAATGCCTAAGAAGTCAGTTTCACTGATGGTGTTTTTCCTAGCATATGAAGTAGTGGTGGGTTTTATAATCAGTTATATCACAAGTGTGCTGAAGATGTTCTAAGGTGACAGAGAAGGAAGTCAATTCTGTTAAGTCACTTGTCCCACAAAGTTACAGAATAGAGGTAGGGTTTCTAAATTACCTACTGGTTTTCTTTGCCCACTCATCAAAGAATGCTATCTTTTTTAAATTTTTAAATAGTAGTTTATAGGTTAAGTACATTTTCTTTCTGTCATTTGTAAGCTGTTTTAGGACTAGTTTTCATAGACTAGCACGTGTGTTTTAACATTCAGAGGTTTCTGAAATGTTTTCAGGTGAGTTAATGCTTTTCTTATATTTATGTTTGTCATACTGATAATCTTTTCCCTACCATGAACAGAAAAGTCACTCATGTTTTCCTGAAATACGCTGTCTTTTGTTTAAACTACCTAATCGTTAAGATACCTAACATAATATGAAACCAGAGACTGCTGACTGTAGAATTCTTAATTTGGAGTGTTTACTTAGGTTTTTTTTTCACCCTGAGGTTTTAGACTAATTGATTTTAAAGAATGGCATTGTTTTGTAGGATGCCAGATTCAGAGTTTTTTCATGAATGTGTCTGGATGTAGCATGTCCTTCATTAATTCTGGCCAGGTGGCATTAAACAATTCCTTTCACTCTAAAGACTAACAAAATATTATCTTGATGCTAAGTGAATCTGCTTCTCCCTTTCTCTGTGACTTTTCTTTAGTGAGAACCTGTTGGGTTTGTCTTCCCATTCTCATCCAGGCCAGAGCCTTCCTAAGATTGTTAGAGAGCCATTCTCAGGGGAGGAGCTTCTGTCTCCTTGTCCTTAGCCCTTCATCATCCGCTTCTCCATCCACTTTCCTCCTCCCCTCACAGTGGTGATTGCCCTTTGCATTAACAGGAGGCTGTGCACTATGAGAAAAGGACAGACTCTTACCCAATTTCTGGCATTTACTACTTGTGTGATCATGGACTTCTTCATAACTTTCTCCATATGGTGTGGGCTACGAAGACTGAGGAATGAGATGGTGATGGCAAGTCACTTGAATGTTCCCTAAACACTGCCCCAGCTTGTGCCTCCTGATCTTTCCATTGCCAGTGAGGTACCAACCCTCATTATTTATCTTCCTGTCCTGCTTTTGAGCTCAAGCCCTATGGATCAGGCATTGGGAGACTAGATAGCGCACTGGCCTCCTTATTGAGCTCCTTGGCTATACTTTCCTTCCTTACCAATAGTATAGGCCTGTCACTTCCTTTATTTTAGTCCGTGAATCTTTGTCACTTTCAGGATAAAGCTCTAACTCTCACATTTATTGTATTTTTTAAAAAAAAAGCACATTCTGGAGGCTAGAGAGATGGCTCAGCAGTTAAAAGTTCCTAGCACCCACATGGCTGCTAACAACCATATGTAACTCTAGTTCCAGGGGATCCAACGCCCTTTTCTGGCCTCCACAGGCATTGCATGTAGCCCAGCTGGCCTATGTAGACCAGGCTGGCCTTGAACTCACAGAGATCTACCTGCTTCTGCCTCCCAAGTGCTGGGAATAAAAGTGTGTGCCCCACACCCTGCTCTGAAAAAAGTTTTGTTTTTTAAAGAAACACATTCTTCAGGCTGAGGATGTGCCTCATTGGTAGAGAGCTTAACGTGCAGGAAGTTCCAGTTCTCTCCCTAGCACTGTGTGCACAAAACCAGGCATGGTGATGCATACCAGTAATCCTAGCACTTGGGAGGTGGAGGCAGGAGGATCAAGAATTCAAAGTCATTCCTGGGTACATAATGAGTTTGAGGCCAGCCTGGGATACATGAGACCCTGTCTCAAACGAAAAATCTTAACTATCAATGCTTATGGTCATCTGGCTTCAGCAGACATTCTTCAGGCAAAATAAACCTGAGTGGCGTAGCACATCCCTCTCGGTTACCATTTTTAGCTTAGTTTTAACCTCTGAGGGTTATTCTCCTTCCCTCATAATTGCATCCCCCCTAATTTTTTAAAGTTTAGTCCATTATTTTAAGTTAGTTATTTGGTCATGGTAACTAGTCATCCATCGAGACTGATGTTTTGTGATTTTCTTCCTCTTCCATTCAACATTTTATACTCAACCTTACTTTCATTGAGTTTTCCAATTAGACACTTGTGTAATTGGAGCTGGTATTTGTTAACCACCTCAGTGTCTGTTCTCTGGGGGTTTTAAGACTGAGGATGAGAGGAATGATTGATGGGTATGCAGTTATGAAATAGTCCCACAGAGTCTCTGCCATATAGGTACCAATAAGTGGGTCTATTTGGAACTTGTGTAGTGTGTGTTCACCATGGCTGAGTCTCTATTTTTCCCCATCAGTTTTGGTAACCAAGTAACAAGGAGAATATTGTTAGAGGTAATTTACCTACATGTATAAACTGTTCAGATGATTTCCATATAACTGTAAAAAGAACCCTAGGGAATTTCATTAACCTAGTACACAAAAAGTAACACCACCTTCCTGGACCTGGTGCCACAGGCCTATACTCCCAGCCACTCCAGAGAATGAGGCAGGAAGATTGCAAGGTCAAGGCCTGCATGGGCTACAAAGTGAGTTCATGGTGAGTCTGGGCAACTTAACAATAAAAAGTAAAAAGAGGGCTGGGGTTGTAGCTCAGTAGTAGAGCACTGCCTTGAATTTACCAGTGAGGGACTGGGGATGTGGCCCAGTTGTAGAGTGCTCTCCTAGAATCCCCCAGTGAGGGACTGGGGATGTGGCCTAGTTGTAGAGTGCTCTCCTAGAATCCCCCAGTGAGGGGCTGGGGGCATAGCTCAGTGGTAGAGCGCTTGGCCTAAAAACTCCCAGTGAGGGCCTTAAGAGTATAGCAGTGTTGCAGTGCTTGCCTAGTATGTGGAAAGCCTTGGATTCAATCTTCACTAGTACCATAAAAGCATAAATAAAAATAGTGAAATTTAATGTATAAGATGGGTTGTGATTCACAATGATGACTGTTAGAGAATCTGTGCTGGTGTGGGAAAGTAATTAGGCTTTACTATTTGGGTTTGGAATCTGAGGTTTTGTTCTCTTGAGCCTGAATTTGAAAGAAACTATGAAATTATGTAAATTATATTCACTTTCAGGTATAGGTTTTGAAATGTGTTTGGGAATAATTAAGATTTCTCACCAAGCATGGTGGTACATGCCTTTAATTCAGCACTTGGGAGACAAAGGCAGGCAGATCTTTGTGAGTTCCAGGCCACAAACAAACTTTTTTTTTGTCTTTTCAATACAGGGTCTCCCTGTAGCCCCAGCTGGCCTGGAACTCACTATGTAGACCAGGCTGGCCTTGAACTCACAAAGTTCTGCCTGCCTCTGCCTCCCAAGTGGTGGGATTGAAGGTGTGTGCACACACCAAGCACAAACAACTTTTTAAAAACAAGTTGGTTCTTTACTAATTACTGGTTATCATCTCAATATAAATCCAAGACTTTCCTCTCAGATTATAGTAGAAATTCTCCTTAAAATTAGCTTGCAAAGAATTGGCTTTCATTACATCATTTTTTCAAACAAAATTTGTTTTTGTTGTTTCTCCTCCACCTTGTCCCCTCCCACCCGTCCTTTCTACTCTCCTGTCACATGTGATCTTTCACCTTCTCTACAGCTCTCTCTCCTCCCCTTGTCTGCTACGTAGCTTCATAGTCTATCCCCACTCTCACAACCCCTTTACATACATGCAAACATTAAAAGTCAGGACCCATATATGAGTGAGAACATGGCATTTTCTGTCTTTCTGAAACTGGGTTACCTCATTTACTATAATACTTTCCAGTACCATCCATTTTCCTGCAAATTTCCTACTTTCGTTTTTCTTATCAGCTGAATAAAATTCCATAGTATTTATGTACCACCACTTCATTATCCGGGTTTCTGCTGATGGGCATTTAGGTTGGTTCCGTTTCCTGGCTACTGTAAAGCAGCAGTAAGCATGGATAAGCAAGTACCTCTGTGGTAGGGTAGGGAGTCCTTTGGGCATCTGCCAAGAAACAGGATAGCTGGGCAGTTCTATTTTTAATGTGTTTTAAAAAATATTTATTTTTGTGTACGTATTGCCTGCATGCAGTGCCCACAGAGATCACAAGAGGGCATCGGATCCCCTTGGAACTGGAGTTACAGATGGTGGTTAGCTGCCATGTGGGTGCTGGGAATTGAACCTGGGTCCTCTGGAAGATCAGCCAGTGCTCTTAACTGCTGACCCGTCTCTTCAGCCTATTTTTAATGTTTGAAGAACCTCCACACTGATTTCCCTAGTGGCTGCGCTAGTTTACACTCCCACCAGCAGTGGGTTAAGGGTTCCTTCTTCCCCACAGCCTCACTAGCATTTGTTTTCATGATCACAGCTATTCTAAGTGGGGAGACAGAATCTGAAAGTGGTTTTAATTTGCATTTCTCTGATGTCTAAGAATGTTGAACCTTTTTTTTTTTTTTTCCCCTTGGCTTTTTGAGACAGAGTCTTCCTGTAACCCCACCTGGCCTTGATCTCATGGAGATCCACCTGCCTCTGCCTCCCAAGTGCTGGGATCAAAGGTGTGCACTACCACGCCAGGCAGATGTCAAACTTTTTAACAGATATTTATTGGCCATTTCTGTTTCTTATTTTGAGGTCTGTTCATTTCATTAGCCCATTCATTGACTGGCAGTCTTGTGGCTTTGATGTTTAAGTCTTCGCAATTCTTTATTCTAGATGGCAACCTCTGACTAAGGAATCGCTCGCCAAGATTTTCTCCCATTCTGCGGGCTGTCTACTCTGCCGATAGTTTCCTTTGCTGTGCAGAAGCTTTCTAAGTCCACATAGGCTCATTGTTGGGACTGTTGCCTGTGCTGTTGGAGTCCTTCAAATGTATTCCTTGTATTTTTCTCTAGAAATTTCAGGATTTTTTGTTGTTGTTGTTTGTTTTGAGACAGAGTCTTCCTATAGCTCCAGTTGAGCTGGCACTCCCTTTGCAGACTAGGCTGGCCTCAAACTCAGAGATTCACCTGCCTCTGCCTCGAGTGCTGGGATTAAAGGCGTGCGCCACCACGCCTAGCTAAAATATTGTTCTTATTTTAATTTTATTTTAGGATTTTTTTATTCAACTTTGCTTTTTATTATTATTATTTTGTTCTTTTAAATGTCATGCAATAATTCACAGTCCCAAGGAAGGAAAAATGAAAAAGAAAAATATTTTTTAAAAATAAAGGAAAAAAAATGAAGCCAGGGAATCGGTGGCGGTAATTTTTACT